TTAGCAATGCCGAATAAATTTTTATCTATATTCAAACATACCTGATTATATATATTATAGTAATTTGCAGTACAAATTTTTAAAACACTTTTAGCTATTTGAGTTTTTTCTTTAGTAAGATTAGATACTTTAGGAACTTGATTTTTGCTTTTTGAAGATTCTAAATAGTTATTCTCTAACATATCAATTTCTGTTTCAAAACATTATTTTAAATAAATTTTATTAATTTTTTATTTTAAGCAAGTAAAATTTGAAGTTAATAGAGCAAATACCAAAAATAAATGTACCTTTTTTTATGTTTATTTTTATTTGAGTCTTGTAAATTAATTGTTATAAATATACCTATATTAACTTTTCATGCAAAAAGTTTTTAATATTTAGACTAAAATTTCTAAAAATCCTGATTATCTACTAACTGAGTTCTAGCTCCTGCAGCCTTTTTGTCTTTAAATATTATATTATAATTATATGCTTTAATTAATTTATTCTTTGTTAATATAACTACATTGTTATGAATTTCTGAAAAAAATTTATTTACTTTGAATATAGTAATTTTATACTATTTGGTTAATAAAAATTTTCATCAAATTTTATAATGATACGATAATGAAATTTATATTTAAAGTCTTTTTCAAAATTATTTACTACTTTCATATAGTATGTGTTCTCCTTACTATCATTATTAGATTTAGAAGAATTTAATGAATTTTGATCATTATTTTCCAAAATAAGATCATGTATCTTTGGCTCTACTTTAATTTTTTTAGATTTGTGTAATTCAGAAGAAGTGCTAATTTTATTCTTTATCAATTTAGAGTTGCTGATTGATTTTTTTTTTGTTGTATTCAATCTTAATAACCCATTATTACAATATGAACAAAATAAAATATTAAAAGAATCTTTTAAACTTATTAAATAATGATAGTATAATACTTTTTCTTGAACAAAAGAAACTTGATCTTCTGTCCAATTAGGTGCAAAAATTCATATATATGCATATTTGATAGCCTCTGTTTGATTGTCTCTATAATATCATATTTACAATTTTGTACTTGCAAATTAACACTATAAAGTTGGTCTTGAAATGAAATCTACCCAAAACTAGTTTTGGAAAGGTTCTAATCTAAAACTAGTTTCAGATTTTTTTTAAAAAACTGAAACCCCAAAACCTGAAACTTCCAAAACTATAATCTGAAACTCTAAAACCTTATTTGACTAATCAGAATGCATGATCAAGTATAACAATAAAATCGAAGTGATTATAATTTTTAAAAAATTCGTTTCTAACTCTAAATTTGTCCATAAAACTGCTCTTTTTATCCTAACAAAAAATTTTTTTAGAAATTTAAAAGATCTTCTAATTACTTTCCTACTCGAATCCTAACTTAAGCTTTAACCTGAATGTTCTTTGTTTTGTTTTGATTTAATTATAGATATCACAATGAATAATTTTAAAGAATTTTTTCATATAAAAAAAATTTTATAATTTTTTTTTTATATAAGAATAAAAATTTTATATAAAAGAATTTTATAGCTATACTTATAAATTTTGGAACAATGAAAAATTTCTGATGACCAAATTGAATAAGTTTTCAAGTTCAGCTATCAGAATTTTTTGTTATCCCAAAATTTCTGAGAATAGCTATAACTTTTCTAAAAAAGTTACTTAGCCAGGTAATGAAAAGCAATTTTATTTGTCTGCATAGCCTAATACTGTATAAAAATTAAAGTTTTGCAGTTTCAGTGTTTTAAATAAGGTTTCGGGTTTCAAGTAAGGTTTCAAGTTTCATATAAAGTTTTGGATGCTATAATCTGAAACCCAAAACTTTCAGATTTTGGTACAAAGAGTTTTGGAGCTAACTCTAGTATAAACACTTTTAATAACTAAAGCAAGTTCCTCTTTTGTATATAAGTTTTGTATTTAGTGCATCTGCCATTAATATTAATATTAATTATATGATTTTAAAAACAAAATAATATACATTGCAATAATTTGTTTATATAGCAATAATGATAATGATTAGAAAAAGGTATCACACACTTATTAGTATAAGGTGCTTAATTGTTACATAGCTAATGATAAAAAAATTACAACAGACATTAATAATTATCTTACTTAAAATAAGTAACTTGCACTAATAAGTGCATAATGCCTATTGTTACAACTCCTCTCTAATTTTTTTCTCTCATAGATTTTTTTTTGTTTTTTTGTTTGTTTGTTTAGTCATATTACTTTTCTATTTGTTTGTTATTTTTTTTATTTGTTTGTTATTTCTTTTTGTTCACTCCCTGACAGGTATGAGTGCATATGTAGAACTATTTCTATATTTTTAACATCTATACAAAGTTGTCGTTATTACTAAAATTGGCAATTTCTATACAATGAGCTCCCTCAAAGCTGCTATCCTAAATAGTCCAACATTTATTCGAATAATGATTAGTTACTTTTAATCTAACCCTGCATGAATTAACATCTTACTAACTATGTCAGCAAAAAGAAAATTCTAAAACCTCTTCAAACAGTTTGATAAAGATATTAATAATCATTTTTTCAATTATAGTCAATAATTTTATTTGAGAATGTTATCTACAATAAATATTAATAAGATGCATGAATCATCTGATTCACATATAAGTTATGTTTGTTTAGTAAAAAGATGAACTTAAGGCATTTGATTATTATAATACTCTTAGTCATCTGCGAAAGATGTTATTAGTGGAAGAAGGAAGTGGTATTAAAATAGAAAGAAGAATTATGTCCTAACAATAAGATAGTCTAATTAATTTATATAAAGAAATTATGTATTTAAGGACTGGCTTTCTAGCCCTCAATAAAGATTCTTCAGACTTTGCTCTCAAACATTTTCTCTTGACTTTTATAATTGAAATACTTAAAGCTGATTGAAGCCTAGATTGAATTGTAATATTCCCATGCTTCTTGTTAGCATTAGAGGCTAATGTTAAAATTATTAAATTTTTTATTGACTTGTTATTGTAAATACATCTTTACAAACTCTTTACTATATTGTGAATACATCTTCATGATTTTGTTTTTGTGCCGTGAATACATCTTCATGTTCACACACCTTTCCCATTGTTAACCCATCTAAATTTATCTATTGTACCTTAAATCAATCCCGTTATAGATCGTTAACAATTGACAATAGAGATTAATTTATCTGCCCATATTTCTTAAACATATCATGGACCCTTAATGTGTATCTTAAATTAATTCTAAGCAAATACGTTTTAGTGTCATATGTGCAATATTTGTATATAACTGCCTTTATATCTCTTACTTGAGTAAATTTCCCATATTGCCCCATATCATAGCCTATCAGTTACCTAGTTAGTTTACTATCCTGAGCCAATCTGGCATCCCAATAACTGACGCTCACCCAATCTCAATAGTAATATTTGGTGCCGATTGTGTGGAAAATACACCTGTTAGTTTTCAGAACCATATGAATAATTTTGACCAAAACTTTAGGAATAACAGAGAACATGACTGACATCATTATCTTTTTGGAAAAACACCTCAAGCAATCGACTACCTGACTAAATATTACTGCGATGATTCTTGTATTATTTGTTATCCTCTCCAAACACTCTTTCTTCAGTTTTGTACCTTCTGGACTTGGTATAGTACTTTTCAACCAGCCACTACTTACTCTTAGCACGCAATTAGGCATTTTGAGAAATTTCAAGATTTCAAATTAGATTGAATTCATGATCAATTATTAAGCTAATTTATCTTCAGCTTTCATTATAGCGAATAATCTGATAATTTTTCTATACTTGTCAATGAATTTTTAACTGCTTATTAAAATACTAATTGCTTTAATATTGATCATTTAGCCAATACTTATAATAGCAAGACCTTTGATGAAAACCTTGATAATGATATAGAACAAATTGAAGATCGAGTTAACACACCTCTTCTTATTAACCTGATGATGATAATCAGATTAATTATGACTAATCTATTTCAATCTGATAGTATAATTTTGAGAACTCTGGTGATAATCCTCAGAATGATCCTATCACTCTTCTGGCTCAACAGATCAGAAACCTCATTCTTCAAATGCAACATGCTCCTGTGCCCCAAATTAATTTTCTAGCTATTAATGTCCTAGCCCAGAACCTTGAGCTCAATCTAGTGTCTTACCCTGATTTTGCTGGTGATAAACAAGATCTCATTATTGGCTAGAAGATGTTGAAAAAGTCTTTGAAGCCAGAATTAACAAAAGATACCTGTGGTCATCTCTTATTTGAAGGGCACAGCTGCCACATAGTGAGTCAAGCACAAACCATCTGTCCAGCAATAAACCAATAGAATAATTGTAATAATTAGGGACAAAGTTTTCATTCATAGTTTATTGCACAGTTTCGCACTCCAGCTTTGAAAAGTAAATGGTTTATCCAGTTGACCCAGCAGAAACAAGGCCTGGTCAAGGATGTCAATTCCTACCACATATCAATTGAATAATTGCTCTTCCAGGTCAAGTCTGGTGGCTATCATTACCCTGATATAGCCAAGACTCAAATATTTATTAATAGCCTCTGATCTGAACTAGCAACTTCTATTGCCCTCTTTATACCCAACTCTCTTGCTGTAGCTTACGAACATGCTAAGGCCTTCGAGAACTTCTTTAAGCAAAACTCACTTGGTTACAATCCTTATTTATCTTATATGTATCCTCCTTCTTTTGTGAATTCTCATCTGGCTATATCTACTTAAGCTCAACCAAACCCGCCACTTCCCAATCACCTAACTATAGTTGCAACCCCCTTCTGCTATCAAGCAGGAAGACTCACTTGTCAAATTGACTAAGGCTATTACTAACATGATGGAGAAATTACAGAAAACCCGAGAACCTCTGTGATATGGTTCCAATAGCTGAAACAATAATAATTGATTTACTTGTAATTGATATCAGCAGGCCGGACATTATATTAAAAATTGTTCCAACTCTCCACTCCAAATTAATTGGAACAACATGGCTACAGGAGCCAACGCAATTTTACTTGGTCAGAATAATGGAGCTCCTAATAATACTTCAGCCAATAATAATGTTGGTACCCCATCCCAGAATGGAAACAACAATATCTAGACATTTTTAAACTTTCACAAAGAGATTTTTGACCCTTTGTTCTTGCCCACCAAAGAGTTTGAAAAACCCTCTCAACACACTCATAGTAAGCGATGCCACATTGATAAGATAGTTCTAGATAAACAAGAAACCAACCCAGAAAGTTCGACACCCACATTCATATTCCTCAAAAACTCAAAAAAGAGTCAAAAGCAGTTCCCACCCCAGAGAAAAAAGGTTGAAAATGACCTACTACAGATTTCAGCTTTGGTTTTCTTGTATTCAATTATAGCTGATATCAGAGACAAGCCAGCTAATATAACTATAGAACAGTTGCTAAGGGTAGTTCCATCTATGCAAACAAAGCTATCCAAAAGTTTGTACAAAAAAAAAGCTCTACCAAAAAAGGCTTAGACATTCATGAACCTTCATTCCACCCCAAGTCAACAGCCATGTACGGTAACACCACCATCTATGAGAGGATAATTTCTCTTATTGTTGATAGTGGCTTGCCTAGAAGTGTGGTTACTTCTAATTTGTTAAGGGAGTTAGGAATCAAGATAGAATGCCTATCGACTATTAACATGATAAATGTGTATAGCCAGAGTAAACAAGCTATCTAAACTTCCTATTCACCATGAGAGAGAGCTTAGCTCTGGTCGACATAGTCATAATGAATGCTATGTTTTACAAGGCAATCATTAGAAACAATTGGCTTTTCTAAGTTAACACCAAAATCAATTATACTACTTCTGAAATAACCTTTTATTGGGAGGATAAGGAAATCACTGTCTCTGTAGAATTCAAAAAACTCTAGCACACCCATATCCAGAATGACCACCCTCTAAAATCACCTAGCACACTGCCAAAGATAATAACAAGGTTGATAGTTTCGCTTTAGAGAAAGAAACTGAGAGTAAGTATGAAGAGGAAGAATTGAAAGATAGACTTTTCAGCTATTCAAAAGAAGAGAAATAGTTTCTCTATGGATGTTATGAAGATGAAACACTTTCTGAAGAAACTGACTCCAATAATGACTCAATTATTTTGCAGTACAACGAAAGACCTGGAGAAATAGATTCTCATGAGGCCTGGTAGAGTATATGTAGTAATAATGATTATGAGCAGATGAGAATAAAGATCTTTTCTGCACCAATAATAGAGTTTTTGGGTCCAATAAGAATCTCACCAATTCCAATGAGGACAAATTAATAAATAAAGAATTCTACTATGATAATATGAGGTGTTTTTAATAGAAATAGCTCATTTTTACATATACCTTATTTTGAGATAATTGAGTTTAATCATTTGTTTTAATTTTTAGACTGATCTGGAATTAATCAAATTTTATGATTTTGATTGGTTAAAAGTAATAGATGACTATCGGTAATCTCATAATGTGCTTGACCTTAGACAGCCTCGTGTAATTTTTCCTTTACATTATCTCTATTTTTTATTATGCAAATCAACTTTTATTTATAATTAAAAAATGTCTATCATATCAAAATTTACATGAATCTAATAAAAACTCATTTAAAAAATTGTAAAAATAGGCTATTTCTCTTGATAACACTCTATATCAAGAAACCTTCCTATAAATTAGATATAGGAGCTTTAGATGATGACAACTACTACAAGCTTGAAAACTTGTTAATAAGCAATAGTGACCTTTTTGCTTGAACATCCCAGGATCTAGGCTGGACCAATCTTGTTACCCATACTATCCAAACTGATGACACCCTTCCTGTTCAACAATGGTATTACCACATCTCCCCTAAAAAAAAAGACTTCTTTTAGGATAAAATTAGTCAAATATTAAATGATGAGATTATTCGACTCTCCAGGAGCCTATAGGCTTCACCTATCATTCTTGTTAAGCAGAAGAACAAGACCCATTTTTGTATTAATTACTGACATCTCAATTCTGTAACAAAGAAAGACAGCTCACCCTTTCTCGAATTAATGATCTCTTAGATACCCTTTGGTTTTCTTCTTAATATACTTCGCTTGATCTGGCTAGTGGCTATTAGCAGATTGAAGTGAACCTGAATGACAAAGAAAAGACCACCTTCATTTCACAATTTAGAACCTCGAGTTCAATGTGATACCTTTTGGCCTTACAAATACCCCAGCAACCTTTCAATGGCTTATAGACCAAATATTCAAGAACCTTATCAGTTGATTTATTGTCATTTATTTAGACAACCCGAATATTTTCTCTTGCTCTTTTGATGACTACCTTGCTCACCTTGCCAAAGTTTTTGACCACCTCTGAAGAGCCAGGTTAAGGTTGAATTCCAAGAAATATCATATGGCAAAAAGGGAACTTAAGTTCCTAGAATACGTTATTAAAGCTGAAAGAATATCTACAGACCCTGTAAGGTGAAGTCTGTTAAGAAGTTTTCTACCCCTACTAATCTTCAATAACTTCGCAGTTTTTTAGAATTGGCTTCCTATTAATGCCAGTTTATTCAAGACTTTTTTACTATTGCCACCCTCTCAACCTATTGTTAAAAAAAGATACAAAGTACTCTTGAACAAGTGCTCAAGAGATTGCCTTTGACATTCTTAAGGAAAGACTCATTACCGCCCCTATATTAGCTTATCCCAGTTTTGATAAATTCTTTTTCCTTTTTATTGATACCTCTGGCATGGCTCTGGGGGCCATCCTTTCTCAAAAAGACTCTCAGGATAGAGAGAGAGTTATTCATTATGCGAGCTGCTCTCTGACCATAGCTAAAAAAAATTACTCAGTAACAGAACAAGAGTGCTTTGCCATTGTCTGGGCTACTATATATTTTTGTCAATACCTCCATGGTAGTTATTTCACCTTGGTCACTAACTACTCGATATTTAAATCACTGTTGAAGAATACCCTGCCTAAGAGACGTCTTGCTTGTTGGATCTTATCTTTACAAGAATATAAGTTTGTTGTAGCCTACTATTCTGGTAAACAACATTCTAATACAGACAGTCTTTCTCGTATGATAGACTTTTCAAATCAAGAATCTAGTCATTATTGCTCCATTGTCTCATATGTACAATTTTAGAACTAATTTTCCTCTAAGTCAAAAACCTTTATAATCCTTACAATTTTGACTAAACAAAATTTCCTCCCTGCCACACTGTTTAACTTTCTATTTATTATACCTAACTTATTGTATTCTAGTTAATATCACTATTTCATAAGCATGGATCCAAAACAATATCAGAATTTTATTGACTATTTATCTTACCCTAATTATCCCTCCACTAGAGCTATGACCCGGGTCAGAAAATACTGACCCGGGTTTGACCCGGGTCAGAAAATATTGACCCAGGTTGTGACCCAGGTTAACATTCATAGAAAGACATTCATACGATTGGCTAATTTTTGTAGATCTACTCGTGATTTTCCATGACAATTAACCAATCAAAATACGTAATTTTTAAGAAGACTTATCATTATTTTAATAATACTACTACAGCATTAGAAAATGAAAAAAAAACTCATAAAAAAGCTTATAAACTATAAATACACTCCAAGGAATTTATCATATATATTTAGAGGATAGATAAATACACGTAAAGTGGGGTGAGTGTAATATTTATTAATAATAAACCCACGCTTGTTAAAGAATCTACAAGCTATAAACCAAACTTTAAATTCACATTGACCAACTAAATTTAAACATTAAATACGGGTCTTCTACTACTAAAGAGCTTGTACCTATTCAAATTAAACGGAAGCAACAAAAAATTTATTCAAAATCTAACATAATAAAGTAGTTTTAGACAAAGACGTTTCCAGTTACCTTCACTATATGGTATAATATGATATGGTCCAATAAACGGCAAGCATATTTTGTCTTTTAAGTGAAGTTCTTTGGGATCCTGATTATTTTCTGATTATTTTGTATAGTGAATATTCACGCTCTAACGAAACTAATAGTAAAAAAAAATCGTATTTTTTATTAGTGAAACGTTGAGTTCTTAAAAAGTACTTTAAAGTGTATAAATAAGTTACCCGGGTAATTGAGAAGATATGCAACTCAACAGCCAATTTGTATTCTACATACAGCAATAAGCAATTTTGAGTTATTTAATGTAACGATACTTACATAAAGTTGGTGTAACATCTTAATAAAGTGAACACTTATCTAATTAGTATCCAGACTTAATCGATTTCAAGGATTTGTCATTGTTTGAACAATGAAAAATCTCCGAATCACAGAAGTCTGGACACTACATATTATTAGTAATTGTAAAGTAGTTTCTAACACCCAAATAAAGTCAACAGTTCTAATTAGTGTCAAGACCCATGCGATTTCACAGATTTTTCATTGTTTAGACAATGCAAAATTTCTGAAATCACATAAATCTGAGCACTACGTCTGATTAGTAGTAATTGCAAAGTTTTAACGTCCAAATAAAGTTAATAATTGTCTAATTAGTGTCCAGACTTATGCAATCTCACAAGTTTTTCATTGTTTGAACAATGAAAAATCTTCGAAATTGTATAAGTCTAGACACTACGCCTAATTGGTAATCATTGTAAAGTAGTTTTTGATGCCCAAAACTCACCATTAAATATTCGCATTGTTGCAAATATATCATTAGCACCCTATTAAAATAAAAAAAAGTTCTGATCAGCCTTAT